GTTGTCAACAATTACCTAGGACAAGAAGGGATTTTCTGACTTTTCAAAAAGTCATTGATAGCTGAGTTGGCGAACACACGTGCATTATGCACGTTTCCTGGCCATTTTACCACATCCATGAAACAGTATTTATAGTCACAAGTGGCCTGAATATTTAGCGTAAAATTCCCCTTCCGATTCAGGTAATCAGTTGAATTAGCTGATGGTTGCTTTATTCCCACATGTGTGCCATCCACAGCACCTAGACACTGGGGGAGACCATGCATCTGTTCAAATCCCTCCACGAGTGAATATACCGCATTTTCTGACGTTGGAAGCTGAATATACAGAGATCCCAAGTGCACTGTTATAGCTTCACACACCTCCCGGACTATTTTTGAGACAACCTGCCTTGATAGTCCAAATGCATAAACAGTTTTCCTCAATCTGCCCTCGTCTGCTAAATAATAGAGGGTGCAGGCAACTTTTTTGGTTACACACACCAGTGATCGCATGACAGTGGACTCTCCTTTTATGTGAGGACGTAGTAACTCCGAGAGCTTCAGAAGAGATGACCGTGTCATTCGGAAATTGTTTCTCCATTCCTCCGGTAGTACAATTTCCTGCTCGAAGTTTTCTCACCACCTGGCAGTCCTTCCCGGTCTGACCCAGAACCTGTGTCGGTGTCTTTGCCGAAAAACCTGCCTTGGACGTGGAGAAGCCAGGTGCTGGGCAATCGCCGTTCTTAACCTCGTCCTTCGTCTGTGGTCTTCCGCAAGGAGCAGTAATTCGTCTTCGTCTTCCTCCGCTTATCCGGGTCCGGGTCGCGGGGGCAGCATCCCAATTAGGGAGCTCCAGGCCGTCCTCTCCCCGGCCTTGTCCACCAGCTCCTCCGGCAGGACCCCAAGGCGTTCCCGGACCAGATTGGAGATGTAACCTCTCCAACGTGTCCTGGGTCGACCCGGGGGCCTTCTGCCGGCAGGACATGCCCGAAACACCTCCCCGGGGAGGCGTCCAGGAGGCATCCTGACCAGATGCCCAAACCACCTCAACTGGCTCCTTTCGATCCGGAGGAGCAGCGGTTCTACTCCGAGTCCCTCCCGAATGTCCGAGCTCCTCACCCTATCTCTAAGGCTGAGCCCGGCCACCCTACGGAGGAAACTCATTTCGGCCGCTTGTATCCGCGATCTCGTTCTTTCGGTCATTACCCAAAGCTCATGACCATAGGTGAGGATTGGGACGTAGATCGACCGGTAAATCGAGAGCCTGGCTTTCTGGCTCAGCTCCCTCTTCCCCACGACAGATCGGCTCAGCGTCCGCATCACTGCAGACGCCGAACCAATCCGCCTGTCGATCTCCCGATCCCTCCTACCCTCACTCGTGAACAAGACCCCGAGATACTTAAACTCCTCCACTTGAGGTAGGACCTCTCCCCCGACCCGGAGGTGGCAAGCCACCCTTTTCCGGTCGAGAACCATGGTCTCAGATTTGGAGGTGCTGATCCTCATCCCAGCCGCTTCACATTCGGCCGCGAACCTACCCAGCAAGAGCTGAAGGTCAGAGCTGGATGAAGCTAGGAGGACCACATCATCCGCAAAAAGCAGAGACGAGATTCTCCTGCCACCAAACTCGACACACTCCACACCACGGCTGCGTCTAGAAATTCTGTCCATAAAAGTGATGAACAGAACCGGTGACAAAGGGCAGCCCTGGCGGAGTCCAACCCTCACTGGGAACAGGTCCGACTTACTACCGGCTATGCGGACCAAACTCACGCTCCTCTGGTAAAGGGACTGAATGGCCCTTAACAGAAAGCCACCCACCCCATACTCCTGGAGCGTCCCCCACAGGGTGCCCCTGGGGACACGGTCATAAGCCTTCTCCAAATCCACAAAGCACATGTGGATTGGTTGGGCAAACTCCCATGCCCCCTCCATCACCCTTGCAAGGGTATAGAGCTGGTCCACAGTTCCACGGCCAGGACGAAAACCACATTGCTCCTCCTCTATCTGAGATTCAACTATCGATCGGACCCTCCTCTCCAGTACCTTGGCGTAGACCTTTCCCGGGAGGCTGAGGAGTGTGATCCCCCTATAGTTGGAACACACCCTCAGGTCACCCTTCTTAAAGATGGGGACCACCACCCCGGTCTGCCACTCCCTAGGAACTGCCCCCGATGACCACGCAATGTTGTAGAGACGTGTCAACCATGACAGCCCTACAACATCCATAGCCTTGAGATACCCAGGACGAACCTCATCCGCCCCCGGGGCTCCGCCGCTGTGTAGTTGTTTGACTACCTCAGCAACTTCTGCCCCCGAGATCGGACAGTCCATCCCCAGGCCTCCCAGCTCTGGTTCCTCCTCGGAATGCGCATTGGTGGGATTGAGGAGCTCCTCAAAGTATTCCTTCCACCGTCCGACTATAGCCTCAGTTGACGTCAGCAGCTCCCCATCCCCACTGTAAACAGTGTGAGCGAGTTGCTGCCTTCCTCTCCTGAGGCGCCGGACAGTTTGCCAGAACCTCTTTGGAGCCGATCGATAGTCTTTCTCCATGGCCTCACCAAACTCCTCCCACGCCCGAGATTTTGCCTCGGCAACTGCCACTGCTGCACCCCGCTTGGCTATCCGGTACCTGTCTGCTGCCTCCGGAGACCCACAGACCAGCCACGCCCTGTAGGCCTCCTTCTTCAGCCTGACGGCTCCCCGAACCTCTGGTGTCCACCAGCGGGTACGGGGGTTGCCACCACGACTGGCACCGGCCACCTTACGACCACAGCTAGCAACAGCCGCCTCGACAATCGCAGAGTGGAACAAGGCCCACTCGGACTCAATGTCCCCCACTGCTCTCGGGACGTGGTCAAAGCTCTGCCGGAGGTGGGAGTTGAAGACCGTCTTGACAGGTTCTTCTGCCAGGCGTTCCCAGCAGACCCTCACTATGCGTTTGGGTCTGCCAGGTCTACGCGGCATGTTCCCTTGCCATCTGATCCAACTCACCACCAGGTGGTGATCAGTTGACAGCTCCGCCCCTCTCTTCACTCGGGTGTCCAAAACATACGGCCGCAGGTCAGATGATACGACTACAAAATCTATCATCGACCTGTGACCTAGGCTGCCCTGGTACCAAGTGTACCGGTGGGCATCCTTATGTTCGAACATGGTGTTCGTTATGGCCAAACTGCGGCTTGCACAGAAGTCCAATAACAAAACACCGCTCGAGTTCAGATTAGGTGGGCCGTTCCTCCCAATCACACCCCTCCAGGTCAAGCTGTCATTGCCCACGTGAGCATTGAAGTCCCCCAGCAGGACAATGGAGTCCCCTGATGGAGCACTATCTAGCACTCGTCCCAGGGACTCCAGAAAGGGTGGGTACTCTGAACTGATATTTGGCCCATAAGCACAAACAACAGTCAGGACCCGTTCCCCGACCCGAAGGCGCAAGGAAGCTACCCTCTTGTCCCCCGGGGTAAACCCCAACACACAGGCAGAGAGTCTCGGGGCTAACAAAAAGCCAACCCCAGCCCTCCGCCTCTCACCCGGAGCAACTCCAGCAAAGTAGAGTGTCCAACCCCTCTCCAGGTCTCGGGTTCCAGAGCCAATGCAATGTGTCGAGGTGAGTCCGACTATATCTAGCCGGTACCGCTCAACCTCTGCCACAAGCTCCGGCTCCTTCCCCGCCAGCGAGGTGACGTTCCATGTCCCAAAAACTAGTTTTCTTGTCCGGGGATTGGACCGCCAAGGCTCCCGCCTTGGTCTGCCACCCGATTCGCAGTAATTCCGCTTGCAAAAACAAACAAGCAAAAAGCGCTTGGACAATGGATAAAGCGAGCGGAGCTCTGAGGGCTTCCATGATGCCGGCTAGTGTAAACACAGGTCGCACACATGATGTCAGCTTTTTTTTGTCGCGGAAAGTGACGTTGCGGACCTTAAAACTCCGGTTTTGTCCGTCCACATGCAGACACCCAAAACGGAGAAAACGCAGATCTTCACTTTGGCCGGAGTTTTTAAAAAGATACGTTATTGTGTGAAAAAACTCCGTTTTCGTGTGGATGACAGGCCAAAACGGAGAAAAATAGCTACGTTTTGGCAGATCCCCGGCTACGTGTGGACAGGGCCTTAGTCTGTTGTTCTTTTAACTTTATACACAACTATTGTAGCTTGTGTTTTTTATTATTTATTTTTATGTGCAGCACTTTGGTTGGTTGTAATGCCATGTTGAAAGCGCTCTACAAATAAACTGGTATGGTATGTTCCCGTGGGCAGCGTGTATGGTGAACAGACTCCTGGAGGACATGTGGAGCTGTGGCTGAGGAACAGTGGTCTAACTGAACAGGAACACTCCTGTGTGTCACATAGGACTTGACCACTCCTTCATACCCATGAGCTGGATGGGATGGGTCATCATTTCAATAATTTAATAACGGTTTATAAAACAATGTTGTTGTCAGAATTCTGACTTTTTTCTTAATAGTAAAATAGTCTGATTTTTTAGAAAAAAGTTCAGATTCAGAGATTAAAGTCAGAACTCTTACTTTCTTTTCGGTGGCCCCTATCCTCTTCTGCAGTTCTCCACCCAACAGGGCACTGTAATTTACAGGCAGAGGTAGGAGCTGCAGGGTTTTTAACCTGATGCTGACTAGCATATAGCCTGGACACTCAGTCTTGTTTTCAAAAGAACAGCCATGAGGATCCTTTAAACAAGGAATTACCAGAACAACAAATTTACAGCCGATTCATACAAACCCAGCATGTGTGCGTCGGTTTCTACCAAAAGCTACAGATTTTGGAAACTGCACCAAAAGTGTGCCCTACGGTGAAAATGTTTTTGCGTGACTTTCCTTCTTCAGCATTTGTGAAGTTACAAAATCGATGTTGCTGCAGTAGAACTTTGGTAAATATTTCCTGAAAGTGGTGAATAATTGCTGCCATATGACAAGAGCTGTAAAACACATTGTTACCCTCTAGTGAGACAGCTAAAACACAAGACAGAGCAGAAGCACACATGGAGGAAACAGTACATACCAATCTCTGAACATCCACTATACGTCCTTCTTTGAGTCCAAATGTCGATGATGAGCAAAAAAGACCCTCTGCTGATTTAGGACAAGGTCCTGGCATCTGTAGGCTGGAAATGGGAGGTTGTAAAGGCTTGTACAAGTTCTACTGCGATCGGAGGGAGGGAACAACTTCCTCACTTACAGGAACACTCAAATATCCACGCAACGATCTAAAGCTGGTTGCTTTACATCTTTAGCTCAGAGAATTATCTTGAGAGGAACAAATCACCAAAACTAAAAAAATTACCAAAAAATATTAGAAATCATGATACAGCACAAACTGTTTAAAACACTGTCACAAACACAGAAGCTAAACTGAATGTGTTTTCTTCAGGGGAATAATTTTGAAGCTCATTCAGTAGAAACTGCTTGGAGATGACAGAACTGAGAAACACTGATCTAAGATCACTTTACAAACATTTAGTCATTAATTGTATGACTTCAACAACTCAGAGTAGCAGAAAAAACAATCTTTTATAGAATCACATTTTTACAATATTGTGCAACATGTTCAAAAATAGTCCACATCTTCACTTCCTTATGCACGACTGAAATCAAGGGGGAGTAAGCGGCTGTGGTTCTGCAGTAATAAAAAACAGAGTTGTCCACATTGACCACAGAAAAGGGTGGAGGAGAACAACAAGTAGTATGGTTCACCAGCTCTGCGGACTGGACTGGAATGCTCCTCAGAACGGGAAGAGGCTCGGCACTTTGATGTTGATGTCTCCAATGTTGATGTTCCGAGGAATTTCTGGCAGATTCATGTTCTTCACAGCTGAGACAGCACGAGCTGGGGCTGCTGAAAGACCTCCCTGCCCAAGAGAAGAAAGAAAACACCTTCAGAGAAAGTGAGTACGTTTACATGCAGCCAATATCCGGGTTATGATCGGGTTAAGGTCGGCATTCGGGTTTCTGAGTTGATCAGAGTAACCCGTTTACAAGCCAGAGTTAACCCTAATTTGCATAACCCGTTTTCAATACGGACGTTGCGGTAGCGTCAGGACGTATGGACGACGTCAAGACGCAATATGCGTCATTCCAGTTCATCTTGTTCCGGTATCCATGAAAACAACAACATGTTTCTCAGTTCGGAAGAAATAGCGAGAGCGTTTGTTTGCGCTATATTGCTGGTATTGACCCACCGGCAGCTCTTACAACGACTGTGCGTACTGGCCTTCATTCGAAGGAGAGTACGTGAGCAAGAAATTGCAAATATAGAGAGAGCTGCGCTAAACATATCCAACATATCGACGGTACCCGTTACCACCAGAGCCCCGCGGACACTTTGGATGAAGGTGCGCAGTCAGGACTGGTGGGAGCGCGTTGTAATGATGGAGTTCACGGACACGAATTGGCGTGAGAATTTCTGTATGTCACATCAATCTTTTGCTAAACTTTGTGGTATGATGGAAAGAGTGATGGAGCCCAGTGTAGTAACCATCACCACCAGTGCCTACAGAAATGCGCGTTGCCATGGTGCTGTATAAACTAGCAAGCTGTGCAGAGTGTTGTTTGATAGCAAACCAATTTGGAGTGCACAAGAGCACCGTGAAGAAGATGGTGTACCTATTCTGCCACGGAATGGTCGACTCAAGTTATCAAAACACTGATCCGGGTACCCACTTTGGAGGAGACATGTGGCATTGCACAAAGATTTGAACCTGCCCACTCCATTTCTCAAATCATAGGTAAAATATTTCCTGCTCTTATGTCTTGTTAATGTCAGTAGTTTTCTGAGAGTAGGCTAAATGTGAACTATACTATGTATGTAGGCTACACTGCTGTGTGCATACTTTTTTTTTATTTTTTTTTTACTTTTTATCATAGGTTGTGTGGATGGGAGCCACATCCCTTGCTTGCCTCCAAGTGATGGCTACAGAGACTTCATAAACAGGAAGGGATGGCCATCCCATGCCCTCCAGGGAGTCTGTGATGACAAATACTGGTAGGTGTTTTGCCATTCCCAGCTTTTGTATTCATGATTATGATTTGTATATAATGTTGACAGCCACACATCACTAAGCTATATTGGAACCACTCACAAACATCAATTGAGAGGTTCTCTGTTCAAAAAAACCTCAACAGCTTATATGTACAAATAATTATGTCATTACTGACCTGAAATAATTTTCCTAACTTTTTGCCACTAATCACACCGCTCCCACTACATCTTGATTCACTGTGATACATTTTCCATAGTTTTTGGAGTGTGAGCTGCAACATGCCTGGTTCAGCACATGACGCCAATGCACTCCGCCAGTCCAATCTGTTCAACAATGCACAATCCTTCCCAAAGGTGGGTAATGCATTAAAACTTTTGGTATTTAAATGCAAGTTGCATACCTGCCACATATCTAAGATGTATTATGACATAATTTAGGAAGAATAATATTTCTATCTGTCCCACTTTAGAGAGCAGTGCAGATCGAGGGGCAGGATGTGGATTTCTTCCTGCTGGGAGATCCTGCGTACCCACTGATGCCCTGGCTAATGAAGGGCTATCTGCAGTCCCCAAGACTGACACCACAAGAGGAAAGCTTCTACGTCTATTTGAGTTCTGCTAGAACAAGTATAGAGATAGCATTTGGTCGACTGAAATCTCGTTTCTGTGTTCTGTTGAAGCGCAGTGACTTCCATTTCACTTTCACACCATACGTGGTAGCAACCTGTTGTGCTCTACACACATTTTGTGAGATGGAGAAGGAGCATGTTAATCCCAGATGGGCAGAGGAGGCCACATCAGTAGAAAGGCTGTTTCCACAGCCTGTGTCACAGGTCAATAGGGCTGATAACAGTGCAGCCTCAGCTATCAGACGGGCCCTAACAGATTACCTTGCTGCACGTGTCCCACTCCGTAAGCGCTTAGTAAGAGCGTGAGTGTGCAGGACGAACGGCTCTGATAGGAAACAAACAACTTTAAACTGTAAGCTCGATATTTTTCAAAACGCTTTATTTTCTGAGTTTTAAAAGATGTTTATCTGCCTTCTCCTTTGTTGCTGTGCACCTCTGAAAAAGAACAGGTATATGCAATGTTCAAATAAAATGTCAACACATACAAGTTTTCTAGTAAGTTCAATAAAACATTTGTTCTTTAATAAAGCACATAACAAAATAACATTTTGGTTTTGCTTTTTAAATGTGAGGTTGATTCAGAAATCATTTGAGACATGAGTGCCTCATCACTGGCATGTCTCAACTGCCTTTGCTGCTCAAACCATTGCTTCTGCGTGTGCTGCATTCTCTCCATGAACTGTTGATGTTGAGTAAGTGAAGCGGCTCCACGGTGCCTGGACCTGCGACTTGACCCACCTAGAGCAGACATGACAGGCCTTAGAAAGTGTTGGGTAAGTTCTCTCTTAGTGTTCGACTATTATCACTTTTTGCATTCTTATGAAACTTGTGGATTCTAGAAGATGTTTCTTTACCTTTAGGTGATGTGTCAGAATGTCACCTGCCCCTTAGTCATAAACAAATATCTTCCTACAATTCTGAGTTTACTAAGAATGCAAAAGTGACAATAGTCCTTAGTTTGGGTCAACGGTTATATTACATAATATCTCATAATCACTGTAATCAAATTATCCACTAAAGAAAGGTACTATTTTCAGACATTACACAAGGAGGAGGAGTGACCTGGGGTTACAATACGCTATAACCTTTAGTAACAGTATTTAGCAAGCTCACCAGGAGTAGCTGCAGTGGGATTTGATGGCTGTGTAGACTGGCAAGGCACAGTCATTGAAGGTCCACCTTCTCCAATATCTGCATCTGGCCAGAAATAAAAACAAGCAAAATGTTACAGCTTGATGTTAAAAAAGATGTTACTTATAGGTTAAACACAGATGGGTCGACGCATGTATCTAACTCCAAGAGCGAAACCCTTTGTTGGTATACGTATTGGATTGAGAAAGTCATGTGACTTACCTGTGTTTTCATCCATAACATCATCATCATCCTCTCCTTCAAGATGAACCAGACCGATGAACACAGAGGTTTCCTTGTCACTCCAAAAGTGTGGTGCTGTGCCGCGACTCGCCATGTTGCTCCCAACTTGTTTACTTCCGGTATTCTGGCGCATACAAGATGTGTCGCTACTCAAAAGACCAAGATTCCTTGCGAACAGAGCATGCGCAGAACACACGCTTTGATGGGGATATCCCGATATGTGTTTACACGACCACACATTCGGGTTAGAAAAGGGTTACCCCAGGTGTAGTAACCGGGTTTTTAAAAACCCGGTTATGAGCATATCCGGGTTTTTGGCGGTGTTTACATGGCCGTGCGGAACCGGGTTATTGCGAATATTCGGGTTTTAAAAGGGTTACTGGCTGCATGTAAACGCACTGAGTGTGTGTGTGTGTGTGTGTGTGTGTGTGTGTGTGTGTGTGTGTGTGTTAAGTATAAAACGGTTGCAAAAGACAGCTGTAATTATTTTGTACCAACTATCCACAGATACTGAGACTTATTGAACACCCCTAATGCGCCCTAACTCAGGAGTACCTCAAGGGTGTGTGCTCAGTCCTGCTCTCTACATCTGCTATTCCAATAACTGCACCCACTCACCCCAAAAATACAATCTTCTAGTTTGTGGATGACACGACTGTTAGCTCATTTTAAATGGGAACAAGATTCCTACAGAGAGGAAGTTTAACAGGATGACGTAGAGAATAAAACCATCCTTAAATACCTATCCCGCACACGTTGTAAAACAGGATGAAGGCATGTCAGTCAGGACAAAGGGGACAATGAAGTATATAGCAGATGATTGCTAGGGCTGCACCTATCAAATATTTTAATAATTCCCTGTCTATACATTTATTAGTGATGGTCTCTTTGAAGCCGAAGCTTTGGCACATGTAAAAAAACACAACAGTGCTTCAGAAGCACTGCGTTGATGCTTGAGTCTGTAACGTCCAGCAATGGTGTTTTAGGTCCAGTTTGACCTTTCAACATCTATTTAACATCTGGCCAAGAAAGGAGACACAACACTGCATGTGTTCCCTTTAAACGAGCTGACTTCATACCAGCTGGAACTCACAGCCTGAGGTCTGAAAGATAACAATAACTTTCTTTCCCAAGGTCCCATCTGCCTCCACAGAAGGAACACTCCAGTGAATCAGTTGCTAAATTCAAGAATGATTATCTAAATCAATATGAACTTCTTGCATGACTTATAATCTAGATAATCTTATAAACATTTGTTTATTACTACTTATAATAATTATAGTATAATGAAATGCTTCATTAATCTGTGCTCAATAATTGAAGGGAAATGAGTGTTATGTTATGTCTACTAAGACTGCCACGTGTTCAACATGTTTAGACCACAGGTCCTCACACCTGCACTCACACATAACAAGTACGGCTAAGTTAAACCCTGACACACATAGTATTAACCCAGTCAGAACATCCTGTATCAAGAAGGCATGTTTCTGAGTTGTCTTTGTAACTTCTCTCAAACCTGTCAGCCTTTGGCCGTGCAAATCATAACATCAAAACCTTAAAACTGGATCATCCTGAGTGATTTGAGTTCTAGAGAATCGCTTCAGGCCAGATACCTGTATTAAAACTCTTTAATAGGGCTGGGCATCGAGAATCGAGCATCGATTGGAACCGGTTCCAACTGTTTATTTTTCCCGGAATTGCGCAACCTTTTTTATTTCGATTCCTATTCGATTCCTAGTGTGCCGATGGAAGAGGAATCCGTGGCCGATCTCCGTGAAAAATAAATGTGATCTGCAAATTGTGATCAAGGCTTTTCAGAGCTGATCACACCAGCTGTCTGTGTGCAGCACCGAGACCCACCCCCCACCCCCCATGTCATTGCCGCCACAGTGGATGAGAAGGACATCAGGAGCTGCTTTTGCATGCATGGAGTTGAAAAAGAAGGGGAGAAGGTCTTTCCACCTCAGTCCGCCCCAACCGAACCAGGAGACACAGACGTCAGGGAGGCCAAGGTTGTCTCAGAGGGTCTCTGCAGCTCTCTGGGCACCACGCCTCACTCAGCTGTCACCGATGATCCAAATGGCTATGGAGAAAAAAATAATAGGTTTGGCCTAGCTGTTTAAAGTACAAAACCATACATGAAGTAGTCAAGACAGGTATTTGGAACTTACACTTGCTGCGTTGTGTAGCTGATGTTGGAGACACACAGGCTGCCATGGTGACCTTTTAACAGATCTAAGAAAAAAATGTAATAAAAGAATGAAACTTAAAAACTCCCAGACCTCATTTCATGATTGCTAATCAGCTATGGCTGATTTATTGTTTGGATCACAGCGAGTTACATAAATTCTAATCTATTTTTATTTCTATTACACATACATACTTTTTAACTGTTATTTTCACATGACTGTTATCAGGCTGTCTTGTTCTGGTTCTCATGATAATAATTCTGTTTCTTCCAGTAAGTTATCTTGTGCTTACTTCATCTGTATAATGTCTCTTTACTTTGGTGAATTGTACTGAGTCCAGAATAAAGGCTAGTTGGCTGTACAAGATACAAACAAGTACTACGTTTTGGAAATATATGAAATGTATTTAGTCTGCTAATTTATCTCAAATACTAATAACTACCATATTTTCCGGACTATAAATCACACTTTTTTTCATAGTCTGGCCGGTTCTGCTACTCCGGAGTGACTTATATAACAAAGTATGTAGGCTACACCGCGCTGCTGCGGGCCGACTCCGACCCAAGAATGAATTCCCCTGTCCCGCTGGGAGGGTTTCAAACACCGCCTTCCTCTGCTGGAGACCGTGGCGCGCTGCTGCAGCGCATTATTCGGTTATTGTTACTGGTACTTGTCTTGCAATGTGAAACGCTTGGTCTCAGATTTTGTAAGAAAAATAAAATTTCCCCCCAAAATACGACTTATATATGTTTTTTCTTCTTCTTCATTATACATTTAATGGCTGGTGCGACTCAGGAGCGACTTAATAGTCCTGAAAATACGGTACGTGATAAATGGTGAAAACTTGCTCAAAGCAAAATATATTTTCATTACAGAAATAACTTATAAACTTACCGATTTAATATTTTTTATTCACAGAAATCAAATCAAATCACTTTTATTGTCACGTCACATGTACAGGTACACTAGTACAGTACATGCGAGTGAAATTCTTGTGTGCGAGCTTCACAGCAACAGAGTTGTGCAAAAATATAATAACGTAAAAACAAGCAAAATATAAAAATGGCTAATCTAAGTAATAATGTGTATAGTATGTAAGGTATATACGTTACTGAATGTGTGTAGTAAGTATGTTTTCCTACGTGTGTGCGTGTGAGTGTGTGTATAGTGCGTATATACATGTTTTACAAATGAATAAAAAAAACAATAAAATAAGAGATATAAAATATACAGAGGTTGGTATGTGCAAAACAGTGGCATTAATGTACAGTATGGAGTGTGTAATGTTGGAGTTTCAGTAGTGAGGGTGAGGTGTCTGCGAAGTGTTCAGCAGTCTGATGGCCTGATGGAAAAAGCTGTCTCTCAGTCTGCTGGTTCTGGACCGGATGCTGCAGAACCTCCTTCCTGATGGAAGTAGTCTGAACAGTTTATGGCTGGGGTGACTTGAGTCCTTGATGATCCTCCCCGCTTTCCTCAGGCACCGCTTCCTGTAGATGTCTTGGAGGGAGGGAGGCTCACCTCCAATAATCCTTTCTGCACACCGCACTACTCTCTGGAGAGCTTTGCGGGTGTAAGCGGTGCTGTTGCCGTACCAGGTGGAGATGCATCCAGTGAGGATGCTCTCAATGGCACAGCGATAGAAGGTCCTGAGGATGCGGCGGCTCATGCCAAATCTTTTCAGTCTCCTGAGAAAGAAGAGGCGCTGCTGTGCCTTCTTCACTGTATTGTTTGTGTGCACTGACCACGTAAGATCCTCAGTCAGATGAACTCCAAGGAAACGGAAGCTGCTCACCCTCTCCACAGCGTCGCCGTTGATGGTGATGGGGGTGTGTATTCCTCTGCACCTCCGGAAGTCCATTATCAACTCCTTTGTCTTTGTGACGTTGAGGGTGAGACGGTTGTCTTGACACCAGTGGGTCAGGGCGCTGATCTCCTCCCTGTAGGCCGTCTCATCATCGTTGGTGATGAGACTCACCCCTGTGGTGTCGTCCGCAAACTTCACAATGATGATGGAGTTTCTAGTGGCCGTGCAGTCGTAGGTGTAGAGTGAGTACAGGAGAGGGCTCAGCGTACACCCCTGTGGAGCACCAGTGTTCAGTGTGACGGGGGATGAGGTGGTGCTGCCCAGTCTGACCACCTGGCGTCTGTCAGACAGAAAGTTAAGGATCCAGCTGCTCAGTCCTAGATCCTGCAGTTTCCAGTCCAGCATCGAGGGAATAATGGTGTTGATTGCTGAGCTGTAATCTACAAACAGCATTCTCACATACGTGTCTCTCTTCTCCAGGTGTGACAGGGCAGCATGGAGTGTCAGGGCTATGGCATCATCAGTGGACCTGTTGTGGCGGTCAGGGCTGGACTGGGACAAAAATTCAGCCCGGGCATTTTGACTGGAGACCGGCCCATCACCTGTTTTTTTTTGGAAAAGACATTAAGCCTTACGCTGTTTCTGACACACACCAACGTACACTTTCTTATTGGTAGTATTTATCTATCAATCTAATAAACGTAAACCTACACCATCCTTCCTATCCTGGTATTCGAAAAAGTAGGGTTGGGGGTAACTGATTATTTTTAAAATGATTATTCTGACGATTATTTTATCGAATAGTCGACTATTCTAATGACTATTTAGATGATTAATCTAGTGATTACTTTTCTATTGCACAATTACTAAAAAAAAAAATTCTCAAATAAATTCCTCCAAAAAATTGATAAGTTGTTACTGTAAGAGAATAAACACTACAGGCCTTCCATTTTGTATAACACTGCTTTTATTGTGTTGCGGTTGTTTATGTTCTGGTGACGTGTAGAACTTGGGAGTGCAGGCTGCTGCCTGAGAGGTGGTTGGAGATGGAGTGTCTCCATGCTGCTTTGTTTTGTTCACTTATGTGCATGAGGCAAGTGGTGTTACGACCCTTCCTGGGGAGTCACGTGTTTCTCCTATTTTAACTGTAAATCCTTCTAGCTGTTATATTTATAACAAGAAACAGATATTCGGACGGAATATTTTCATGTTTATTCGAATATGATTGTGGAACACACCCAGCATCATAATAAATGAAGTAATATTTATGCCAATTTAAGCCTTTATGGGTGACCAGGACTCTGTGATCAATTTTTGGCAAGGGAAATTATCATTTGTTGCCATTTTTGAGGTGTTTATGAATGTGGAAGACACCCAGCATCCTGTGATGGCACTAATAACATCAAGAGATAATAAATAAGGTAATATTTAGGTCAATTTAACCCTTTACACGTGACCAGGACACTGTAATCAATTTTTGGCAAGGGAAATGATCATTTGTTGCCATTTTTGAGGTGTTTATGAATGTGAAAGACACCCAGCATCCTGTGATGGCACTAATAACATCAAGAGATAATAAATAAAGTAATATTTAGGTAAATGTAACCCTTTACAGGTGACCAGGACTCTGTGATCAATTTTTGGCAAGGGAAATTATTTTCTTTTTTTTTTCTTTTTTTTTTTTTGTTGTTGCCATTTTTGGGGTGTTTATGATGATACAGTAGGCAGTATGAGTACAGTAACATCAACAGATAATACATAAAACCCTTATTTGGTCAATTTTAGCCTCCATGAAAATCTTAGCAATTCAATCACTTTTTGGCAAGTAAAATGCCATTTTAGTTGTCTACAATTAAATCATCAATAAAGAATTTAAAGATATTTTGAGGCATTTCTTATAGGTAAACGGGAGGGTGTAGTCTATTTGGCAAGTGACAATCTTAATTTTATGTGCTGAAGTGCTTTTATCTTGTTACTTTTAAATAGAGCAACGTAATGTATAGATAGTAACCTACACAGTGTCATTGTAAAGCCAAAGCTTGATCATTTTAAATACTTTTTTCAAGTAAAAATGTGCCCCAAACTAGTTAACTGTGGCTCCATGTCAAGTGGACTAAAGAAAGGAAGGGGAAAAAATTAAATCGCTGGAGAATTGTTTATTTCCATTTATACAACGTTTACATTCAATACAGGGTGCCATTTTACATTGTTTATTTATTTTTTTTAGTATCAAGGCTGTAACATAAAGAAAGCCAGTTCTTACCATAAAGTTTGTGGCACAAACCATCTTTCAATCGCAAATATTGCAAAAAGGATTAATATATCCTCATTGTGAACGTTTAAGACAAATAGCAACACTTAAAACAACTTCCGAACTGGAAAAACTAATGTGGCAAGGTGCAGAAACAAGAGCCTAGGTGGGAATTGAACCCCAGACTCCCAAGTGAGAGTCATACGCTCTAACCAGTCAGCCAAAGGGGTATCTCCCTGACCAAGCAGCCAGGGCACATGATCAATCGGGACATTGTGGATGCTCACACTGCCACATCTACCTTCCTCTTTCCACAAGCACATCCTCGTGCTCCCGCGCAGGGTGCCACAAACACTGCCACACTAATATCCGCGATAAACATCTGTTTAAGTACCGGAAGAGGTTATCTTTGCTTTCTGAATGTCCATATTGCTAGATATGCTGAGTTTTAGGGCGAAATCCTGGGGAATTTTGTCTAGAAATGCAATTACCTAACCGTGCGCGATCCCGCGGTGGCTAATCATTTTTTGGCAGCGAGTCAATTTATGCACAACACCGGCTCGGGTTTCTCCTCCTCCTCCCTCTTTTCTTCTCCAACCTGTCGCTGGGCTGAGGCTCCATCACTTCCTAAATTGATTTTACTTGAACCTTCACTACCAAACAACTGTGAGATTTTAACACATGTGCCAGCATCAGCCTGAAGGGCCAGTTTCTTTTTTAGTCGAATTTTCTCCGCTCCTCCTTTCCGTTTTTTGTTCTCCATTTTGTAAAGCTCGTCTGTCTGTTTACTGAGATTCACAAACAACTGGCGGGTGCATCAGACCTCTGGCTATTGGTCCAGCCCAGAGTGTATTATTACCAATTGGCCAATCCACCAACTTTCACGAGGCGTCGCGTGGGGCGGCGCGGACAAGTTGTCCGCAACAACTAGAGGCCAGGAAAAAAAAAAAACAGACACCGGCCCATAAAAGATGAAAGGGTCGGCCCAGCGGGCAGTTGCCCGCTATGCCCTATGGTCAGTCCAGCGCTGGTGGCGGTATGCAAACTGTAGAGGGTCCAGTGAATCGGGTAGTGCAGAGCAGATGAAGTCCCTGACCAACTTCTCGAAGCATTTGCTCACGATGGGAGTCAGGGCTACAGGTCGCCAGTCGTTCAATGAGGAGATGGTGGAGGATTTGGGTACACGGACAATGGTGGCCATTTTGAAGCAGGCTGGGACTACAGACAGAGAGAGGGAAAGGTTGAAGATGTGTGTAAAAACTCCAGCCAGCTGAGCCGCGCATGACCTGAGGACGCGGCCGGGAATCCCATCCGGACCAGTAGCTTTGCGTACGTTCACCCTCCTGAAGCACTTCCCCACATCCTCCTCAGACACAGTGTGCGCACTGACGTCATCCGCGGTGCGCTCACTGTCCGGTCTCATAGTGTTCGCGGTGTCGAATCTGGCGTAGAATACGTTTAGATCCTCACACAGAGAGGCTGTGGTCTTCGGTGTGCTGGTTGACCAACTTCTCGAAGCATTTGCTCACGATGGGGGTCAGGGCTACAGGTCGCCAGTCGTTCAATGAGGATATGGTGGAGGATTTGGGTACAGGGACAATGGTGGCCATTTTGAAGCAGGTGGGACTACAGACAGAGAGAGGGAAAGGTTGAAGATGTGTGTAAACACTTCAGCCAGCTGAGCCGCGTATGACCTGAGGACGCGGCCGAGAATCCCATCCGGACCAGTAGCTTTGCGTGTGTTCACCCTCCTGAAGCACTTCCGCACATCCTCCTCAGACACAGTGTGCGCACTGACGTCATCCGCGGTGCGCTCACTGTCCGGTCTCATGGTGTTCGCTGTGTCGAATCTGGCGTAGAATACGTTTAGATCCTCACACAGAGAGGCCGTGGTCTGCGATGTGCTGTTTGACCAACTTCTCGAAGCATTTGCTCACGATGGGGGTCAGGGCTACAGGTCGCCAGTCGTTCAATGAGGAGATGGTGGAGGATTTGGGTATAGGGACAATGGTGGCCATTTTGAAGCAGGCTGGGACTACAGACAGAGAGAGGGAAAGGTTGAAGATGTGTGTAAACACTCCAGCCAGCTGAGCCGCGCATGACCTGAGGACGCGGCCGGGAATCCCATCCGGACCAGTAGCTTTGCGTGCGTTCACCCTCCTGAAGCACTTTCGCACATCCTCCTCAGACACAGTGTGCGCACTGACGTCATCCGCGGTGCGCTCACTGTCCGGTCTCATGGTGTTCGCGGTGTCGAATCTGGCATAGAATACGTTTAGATCCTCACACAGAGAGGCCGTGGTCTGCGGTGTGCTGGTTTTCCCTCTAAAGTCTGTGATTGTGTTTAGTCCCTGCCACATACTCTGGGGGTTGTCAAACTGTTGCTCCACCCTGTCTCTGTACTCACATTTGGCTGCTTTGATCGTCTTCTGGAGTTGGTAATGTGCGTGTTTGTAGTCTGATGTGTTCGCGGAGGCAAAGGCGGTGCTCCGTGCCGCCAGCGCCGTTCAAACACCTCCATTAATCCAGGGTTTTTGATTCGGGAAGGATTTAACTGTTCTGGATGGGACGACATCTTCCACGCATTTTCTGATAAATCTGCAGACTGAGTCTGTGTACTCATCAATGTCTTTAGCAGCCGCGTGAAACATTTCCCAGTCCGCGCGATCAAAACAGTCCTGCAGCGTAGACTCCGATTGGTCCGACCAATGATGCACCGCCCTCAGGGTTGGAGCTTCACGTTTCAGCTTCTGCCTGTAGGCAGGTATAAGCAGGATGGAGCGGTGATCTGATTGGCCGAATGGGGCGCGGGGGAGGGCTTTGTATGCATCCCGGAAAGAGGTGTAGCAGTGATCGAGTAGCCGGTCTCCACGTGTATTGAAATGGATGTGTTGGTGTAGTTTTGGTGAGACTTTCTTCGGGTTACTCTTATTAAAGTCCCCGGTCGTGATAAATGCCGCCTCTGGGTGTACGGTTTCCTCATAGCTGATCGCGCTGTACAGTTCCCTGAGTGCTCGGTCAGTGTCGGCTTGTGGGATAATGTAAACAGCCGTAATAATCACCGCTGTGAATTCTCTCGGTAGCCAGAATGGCCGGCACTTAATCATCAAGTACTCCAGGTCCAGAGAGCAGAAGGATTTGACCGGGTGCACGTTCGCATAATCACACCAGCTGTTGTTGATCATGAAACACACACCGCCACCCCTGCTTTTCCCAGTAAGCTCCTGTGACCTATCCACGCGGTGCACGGAGAACCCCGGTAGTTGTACTGCGGTGTCCGGTACCTTGTCTGATAGCCAGGTTTCTATGAGGCAGATCGCGCAGCAGTCCCGAATCTCTTGCTGGAATGAGATCCGAGCCCGAAGCTCGCACAGCTTGTTCTCCAGGGACTGCACATTAGCCAGTAGTAAACTGGGTAATGGTGGTCTGTTAGTGTGCCGTCTCAGTCGAACCAGAACGCCAGATCTTCTCCCTCTGCATCGGCGTTTGCGGTCTCCACGGGCCCAGATCAAAGGCATCTCAGGTGAGATGAATGGGGGATTTGCAAACAGCGGGTCTGTGATGGAAAAACCTGAACTCCGGAAAGAAATGAGAAAATCCGTCTTTTATGTCCAGTAAGGTTTGTCGGTCGTACACAAGGAGACATGTGCTACTCGTGAAAAAATAAAGAAAAAGAAAAAATAGTAAACACAAAAAACAGCTGTTGCTTGGTGAAGCTCGCGACGAGGCTGCCATATTCAGCGCCATCTTGAGCAGAAAGGTACTTCTCATGAAAAAGCGCCGCAAACCTCCACCTGAACTCCATGCGGTCGATGGGTGTTCCACAGAGTTAGCTCCGGTTGTATCTAGGTGGCTACATCCGTTAGCTCGGCTCCCACCTCCGTGTTAGCTTTGGGTTAGCTTCAGGTTAGCTTGTAGCTAGTTCGACCGGGTGTCGTCAGTTGATCCCAGCCTTACAGCCCCACCCTCAGCTCCTCTCTTCCCTTTTATGGAATTGTCTGGGCTTGATGGAACCTGTGACACGGTCAAAATGGCGGTGGTGGCCACCTCCCATTTTAGCACAAAAACTTTTTATTGGAGCCTATGGAAACCCATTGTCCATATCTTAATGTCGATGCTCAAAAGACCAAGATTCCTTGTGAACAGAGCATACACAGAACACACGCTTTGATGGGAATATCCCGATATGCGTTTACACGACCAAACATTCAGGTTAGAAAAGGGTTACCCCAGGTGTAGTAACCGGGTTTTTAAAAACCCGGTTATGAGCATATCCGGGTTTTTGGTGGTGTTTACATGGCCCTGCGGATCCGGGTTATTGTGAATATTCGGGTTTTAAAAGGGTTACTGGCTGCATGTAAACGCACTCAGTGAATGCCTTTTTTCTGCTGCATCACATTTTGTTGATGAAAAGAGAAATATGATCCACTGTGAAAATGCAGAGAAGTTTCTCTGTGTCAACAAAAATCTGCCTTTGTTATTGAAGGAAGCCTAAACTTCAGTGTTTGGGCCATCAACTTTTTGCTTACAAGTTGAAAAGAAATGTAGAACAACTTTTTCATTGTGTCCCAGTTTTTATTATGCTAAAAACTTTACAGCGAGAAATGAAAAAGGATATTTAATAAAAATATGCTCTGAAAGGCTGAAATTTAGAATATACAGTGGGGCAAAAAAGTATTTAGTCAGCCACCGATTGTGCAAGTTCTCCCACTTAAAATGATGACAGATGTCAGTAATTTACATCATAGGTACACTTCAACTGTGAGAGACAGAATGTGAGATAAAAAATCCATGAATTCACATGGCAGGATTTTTAAAGAATTTATTTGTAAATCAGGGTGGAAAATAAGTATTTGGTCAATAACAAAAATTCAACTCAATACTTTGTAATATAACCTTTGTTGGCAATAACAGAGGTCAAATGATTACTATAGGTCTTTACCAGGTTTGCACACACAGTAGCTGGTATTTTGGCCCATTCCTCCATGCAGATCTTCTCGACAGCAGTGATGTTTTGGGGCTGTTGCCGAGCAACGCAGACTTTCAACTCCCTCCACAGATTTTCTATGGGGTTGAGGTCTGGGGACTGGCTAGGCCACTCCAGGACTTTCAAATGCTTCTTACGGAGCCACTCCTTTGTTGCCCGGGCGGTGTGTTTGGGATCATTGTCGTGTTGGAAGACCCAGCCACGTTTCATTTTCAAAGCTCTCACTGATAGAATGAGGTTTTGGCTCAGAATCTCATGATACATGGTCCCATTCATTCTGTCCTTAACACCGATCAGTCGTCCTGTCCCCTTAGCAGAAAAACAGCCCCAAAGCATGATGTTCCCACCCCCATGCTTCACAGTAGGTATGGTGTTCTTGGGATGCAACTCAGTATTCTTCTTCCTCCAAACACGATGAGCTGAGTTTATACCAAAAAGTTCTACTTTGGTTTCATCTGACCACATGACATTCTCCCAATCCTCTGCTGTATCATCCATGTGCTCTCTGGCAAACTTCAGACGGGCCTGGACATGCACTGGCTTCAGCAGCGGAACACGTCTGGCACTGCAGGATTTGATTCCCTGCCGTTGTAGTGTGTTACTGATGGTGACATTTGTTACTGTGGTCCCAGCTCTCTGCAGGTCATTCACCAGGTCCCCCCGTGTGGTTCTGGGATTCTTGCTCACCGTTCTCATGATCATTTTGACCCCACGGGATGAGATCTTGCGTGGAGCCCCAGATCGAGGGAGATTATCAGTGGTCTTGTATGCCTTCCATTTTCTGATAATTGCTCCCACAGTTGATTTTTTCACACCAAGCTGCTTGCCTATTGTAGATTCACTCTTCCCAGTCTGGTGCAGGTCTACAATTCTTTTCCTGGTGTCCTTCGAAAGCTCTTTGGTCTTGGCCATAGTGGAGTTTGGAGTCTGACTGTTTGAGGCTGTGGACAGGTGTCTTTTATACAGATAATGTGTTCAAACAGGTGCCATTAATGCAGGTAACGAGTGGAGGACAGAAAAGCTTCTTGAAGAAGACGTTACAGGTCTGTGAGAGCCAGAGATTTTCCTTGTTTGAAGTGACCAAATACTTATTTTCTACCCTGATTTACAAATAAATTCTTTAAAAATCCTGCCATGTGAATTCATGGATGTTTTTTTCACATTCTGTCTCTCACAGTTGAAGTGTACCTATGATGAAAATTACTGACCTCTGTCATCATTTTAAGCGGGAGAACTTGCACAATCGGTGGCTGACTAAATACTTTTTTGCCCCACTGTACTTTTTGATGTAGCATTGCTTCTTTTTTTTCTCGAAAGATTAAAATGAAGCTGTTTGCTTAAACATGTTTTGAAATAGAAGAAATGCCTAGTTTAATGAAGACAGCAAAGTTTGGTCTGTTCATTGATCAGTTGACTTTTTTCAACATGTTGTGGTTATTATATTGATTCATGAATCAAATTTTCTTCCCAGAGCTTCCTAAAATGATAAGTTGTGTTGCACTTCAGTTTTTGCACAATGGTTACACAGCTGCTAGAATGAAACACTTCAGGTTACTTGTGTTTATGTTGGTTTTGCAATCTTGTTTGCAAACTGCACTTTATAGAAATAAAGCAAGGCCTTAAAAATACAGCTGAGCTTGCATTTCATTCTACACAACAGCTTATTTCAGAAGCATGTGTGTGTCTGTGTTTGTGTGTGTGTGTGTGTGTGTGTGTGTGTGTGTGTGTGTGTGTGTGTGTGTGTGTGTGTGTGTGTGTGTGTGTGTGTGTGTGCAAATATCAGTTATCAGTCATCAAAACATTTCTAATATCGTATAACAGTATCGGCCCAAAATTTCATATCGGTGCATCCCTACTTATACTTCTAAAATGAAAAAAATAATGATCACACTATGAAACAAATGAATATTAAACATTTCAGGCACTTCAGGCACGAACAATACAACTATTCTGTGAATTCTAATAATTCGACCCAGTTAAACATATTTAATGTAAAGAGTACTGAACCTAACTCTGGTGGAAGAGAGAATCAACACACATTAGGCAGGCAACACTCTTTAATTGGAATCACTTTCAAATCTAGTTTACATGAAAAGTTGTCACTTCCCATCAGTCGGTGGGTAAAAGATGGTCTAATATTGAAATCTTTAGCAGAAACACAGACCGAGGCGTCGAGAAGCAGCTGCTCCACAGCTCCTAAAGTTATCATCAGCAAATAATGGTAAGTATATCGGAAAAATTAAAGGTACAGTGACTCTCTGTTTTTATTGTGTCATAGTTGTTGTGTTTATTGTGATTCATCAACTCCACGACTACTCAACTTTGTCTTTGAATAGACGAAGAGTCACATTAAATTTTGGGTTCCTCATGTGGTTTCTTTAATGAACCACTTGAAGACTTCAGCTTTGTTCTCGTTCACCCATTTGATGTTGGCTGTGGTTTTTTCTATGGCTTGCTCCAGGGCCAAGGTGGCTGAGCCAAAGCCAACATGAAGATTGTCTTCTTTGAACCTCTTCAGCTGTTGAAAGAAAAAACATGTTACTTGTACTTATTTTTCTCTGACTAGCCTCTGAAAAGTCCTGTGTGGTTCTGTAGTACCTCCTGCAGCTCAAACTCTGTGGAAAATCTCATTGTGATTCCACTGATGAGATTAGTGAAGGAAAAAGATCCTTGTCCATACCTTACAAAAGAAAAAAATAACAGAAGGACTTACTGCATGAGTACGTTTTTTTAACCTGCACGATTAAAGTAAAAATTGTATCTCATGCAGTGATGTGAGAGTCATAAATGAATCACGATTCTCAGCTCCAACTGACTCATTCACTGACTGATACCTGTTGCTGTTAGCTAACTCATTTCATTTATAGAAATATATCCCGCTTACCATTTAAATTGTGGAGAAAACAAGAGCCAAAACAACATGTTTTCAGCATTTTAGCGTACATATGTATTATTCTTTTTATTCAGAAGCCTTTCTGTGAGGGGCACCCTTACTGTTCGAAGATGTAACTCCATCTTGCTCTGACAAAGTTCCAAGCCAGTGGCATTCCTACAACGTTCCGGGCGATGTACTGGATGGTGGAGATGGAGTCCTGCTTGCGAATTTTAGTTGGGTCAAGGGTGTACTCCAGATACCTGTTTCAAAATAAAGACCCCCCACCCCCACAAAAAGGCTGCAAAGTTTTTAACAAAGGAAATGTTTGTAAAACATCAGAAAACCTAAAGCAAATCTCAGGGAGTTTCCCAATGGAAACATTTAGCACAAGGACACTTTTTTACACAGAAATAAAACCTTTTATGTTTAGGGTTACAGCCTAGAATCTGTAACATTAAACAATTGTATGTCTCCATGAGGTTCAGAACTGTGATACAGTCACTGTCATACAGGGACCTATCAGAGGGCCTGGTACCCCCCAGAGGACCCTCTGAGGGACGCGGTCGAACGCCTTCTCCAAATCCACAAAACACGTAGATAAGTTGGGCAAACTCCCGCGCACTCTCCAGGACACCCCTAAGGGTATAGAGCTGCTCCAGTGTCCAGTCCTAACTAACAAGCCTTGACCCTACAGTAGCTGACCCCTAAACCTGCCCCACTATTTTGTATAGAACCGTAGGGATTTAGGCACATCAGAGAGTTTTCCAGCAGGAACAATCTGTTTAAGGTCGAAGGTCAGTCGTTCTTCAAAATGTTCTGCTAGACAGCAGAACGTTGGTTACGTATTGTAACCCCAGATTCTATGAGTCTAGTCGCAGCCCTTAAGCGAGCTGCTATTGGAAAGATGATCTCCGCATCAGCCAATCATGAAGAGCTAGAGCTAAAATGTACGCCCACCAATAGTGGGCCCCCTCCTGGTAAATAACCGCAGTGACCCCCACTGCTCACCTCCGATGGCTCTTATTCCCATCATAACCAGTGGGGCCAGTGGCTTAAGGGCTGCGACTAGACTCATAGAATCTGGGGTTACAATACGTAACCAACGTTCTATTTCGTCTAGTCTTAGCCCTTAAGCGAGCTGCTATTAGAAATAAAGTGCAGCTGGATGGGTTTACGCCACACTGGTTAACACAACCAATGGACACCCCCAATCAAATCTCCTCTAGTGGGGGACGTTCAGCCTCAGAGCAGGCTTAAAGACTGAGGCAGGCACGATAAGAGAGGGGCCCCCACTAAAAAACATCATCCATAAGAGGATGAAATCCATCTCAGCAAGGCCAATGAGGTGCCATAAGCATTCATTCAGCCTGCTGGGGTCCAAGCACTGAACGAGTGATGGAACCTGAAGACCTGAAGACACATCTCGTAAATAATAACGATTAAAGGAACAGGATGAGGCCCATGAAGCAGCCTGACAAATGTCTTCCATTGACACACCACTGAGGAGCGCCATCGAAGAGGAAATCCCCCTGGCTGAGTGAGCCCTGAGTGCCTCAGGGGGATCCTGCCCTGATGATGTGTAAGCAAGGGAAATGGCGTCACACAGCCAGTGTGAAAGACGCTGGGCCGACAGCGCCTGACCAAAGGAAGACTCCCTGTAGTGCACAAACAGGTTTTGTGAGCGACGAATCCCTGAAGTGCGTGACACATATCGTGCAAGCGTGCGCACCGGGCAGAGAAGGTGAAAAGCCGCCTCCTCCTCAGAATTATGGGGATGAGGAAAAAGTCCAGCCAATGAAATTGACCTGGATTTGAAGGAAGCATTAATGCTTTTGGGCACAAAGGCTGGGTTGGGGCATAAAACAGCAGACCCGCCATCTTCCCGGATCCTGAGGCATGCGGGAACCACTGAGAGGGCGGTTAGGTCACTCACTCTCTTAAATGATGCTAGCGCAAGCAGCAATGCAGTTTTAATTGACAGGAACTTGAGTGAGACCTGGTCCAAGGGTTCAAATGGGGCTCCAGATAAGCCACGCAGAACCACCGTTAGATCCCATTGGGGAAAAAGCGGGCGGGACACAGGTCTGTTCCTCCTGACACCTTTTAGAAAATGTTTTGTGATGGGATGATTGAAAACAGATCTATCTCCAAAACCCTGATGACATGAAGAGATAGCTGCAGCATATGTCTTAACAGTGCTGAATGCGAGGCCTCTGTCCATCAGTATCTGCAGAAATGATAGGACATCCACCAGCTGGCAGGAGAGCGCTTGAACATTCCGTTCTGTGCACCATTTCTGGAAAGCTGCCCATTTAGCAGCGTAAGACGCAATGGTAGAGGGCGCCCGCGCATTCTGAATCATGGCGACCACATCATGCGGCAGCCCAGAAGCCTCTAAGCGTGACCACTCAGCGGCCAGACCCACAGCCGTTGGCCTATTTCCGGAGGATGTTTGATTATCCCATCCGCCTGGAGAAGGGCGTCCGCCCTCCACGGGAGCCTCCACGGGGAGCCGGACACTAGCGCTTGCAGGTCCGGAAATCATGACGCGGACAAGCGTCTGGGAGCCACCAGAATCACCGAGAGCTGTTCCGACCGAATTCGGTCCAGGAGACGGGGAATCAGAGGGACTGGTGGAAATGCATAAAGGAGCGTTCGAGGCCAGGGCTGGTGTGAGAAGGCGTCCGCCTCGAGCGGGGGTCCATCCCGGGGACTCAGGGAAAACCACAGGCGACACTGAGCGTTTTCGCGAGCCGCGAACAGATCCACAGACAGTTCCCCGAACCTGATCCAGATCTGTGATATCAGTGCAGGATGCAGACGCCAGTCGGAGTCGCGGGGTCCCCCTCTCGACAGGATGTCTGCCGCTACATTCAGGACCCCCGGAATGTAGATGGCTCTGATGGACAGCAGGTGGACATGTGTCCAACACAGTAAATCCGTGGCGACACGCAACAGTGGGAGGGATCGAACTCCCCCTTGGCCGCCACCTGGTTGTCTGTGTGAACTTCGACATGACGGCCCTCGAGAAGGGCAGCGAAGTGTCTGATCACATTCCTCACTGTCATAAGCTCCAACACATTTATGTGCTCGTGCGTGTGGGAGGGCCAGCGATCTGCCACCGTATGGGACAAGCACGTGCCCCCCCACCCCGACAGTGACGCATCCGTAAACACAGATACGTGTGACGCAGGACGTCCGATGGGAACCCCGCGTGAGAGGATGCAGGGGTTCCCCCAGTGAGCGAGGTCCCCGCCCACTGAAGGGGGAATCTTCAACATACGTCTCTTCTGACGTATCCGGTGTACCCGGAGGCGGATGAACCAGCGTTGCAAGCGCCTCGTGCGCAGCAAACCTAGCGGCACCACCGAATGGGCTGCGGACATCATGCCCAGGAGTTTCATGACTAACAGGGCTCTCACGATCTTGCGGTGTTGTACACGGGAGATCACCGTGGAGAGATCTGCCGCTCTTGCAGGCGACAAACGTGCTGTCATTAGGGAGGCGTCCAACTCCACCCCGAGATACACAATCGACTGGGATGGAAGGATGGAGATCTTCTCCCAGTTTATAGAAAACCCTAGGGTTGACAGATGCTCTGTCAACCTCCTGGTTTGCTGTGACGCCTCGTCCTTGGACCGAGCGCACAGGAGAAGATCGTCCAGGTAAAATAAAACCCTCATTCCTGCCGTGCGCAGTGGCTGCAGCGTGGTCTCCAGACATTTGGAGAAGGTGCGCGGGGCTTGCGAGTAGCCGAAAGGGAGGCGGTTGAACTGATATTGAACTCCCTTGAACAAAAAACGCAGAAACTTCCGGTGGTTTGGAACTACTGGTATGTGGAAGTATGCGTCTTTCAGGTCGATTGACGTGAACCAATCCCCGGGGCGCACATATTCCAGGACTTGTCTCATCGTTAACATGCGGAAATGCATTACTGCTATGGAGCAGTTGAACAGGAACAGGTCGAGAATCGGCCTCATTCCTCCCAACTTCTTCGGTACTACGAAGTAGCGGGAGTAGAAGCCCGAGAGTTCTTGTCCGCGAGGGACTCGGGAAATAGCGTCCTTGGACAGAAGTTCCCACAGCTCCAGCTCCAGGGCCTGAGACTGTACTTGCGATGTGAACGTCGTCTCCACGATCCCATTGAAGGGAGGTGGAGTGGCCAGAAAATGAAGTGTGTGACCGCAATGAATGGTGTCCGAAATACATTTGCTTATGATGCAAAGGCGGCGCCACTCGTGCGCACGTTCCGACAGTGGACGCGTGTGCGCAGTTACGTGAACAAAGTCTGAGGGTTGTGCATGCGCCCTTACCGCCGTCGCCCGTACCAGAGAACTGGGGGCGACCCATGGAGGGCTGGGCTCGAAAGGGCGAGTGCGAAACAGCTGGAACAGGCTGGTCCACACCGCGGAGCGTGGAGTCCGAGAGTGAAGGACGAGTGGGAGTGGGAGCCGGGCCCGTGCACGGGGGCGACAGAGTGCCAGCGGATGGAGCCGTGCACTGTGCCACCGCGCGTGGTCGAGATAGCGACCTGACATCCCGCCCCACCCAACGGTGTGGGGAGAGCGGGAAGAGTTGGGCCTGGCCGGATGCTGGGGCCGGAGCGCAAATGGAGCGCACCCTTACGGCTGGCCGTGTATCATGACTATCTGCAGGAACATGTATACGTGCAGCAGTGCTTGGTGTGGGGAACATGTGTGAGAACTCGGCAGAGGATTCTGCGGAAGGACTGTAGGATTGTGCTCTTTAGGGGACGTTTTTTGGGTTTTATTTCAAAACCAACATCAGAACAATCATCAACACACACATATTTCCCCCAAAGAGTCACTTCCGTGGCTGCTTTCGGCGAGGCTCCTGCACCTGGGACTGCCAAGACGGCGTCTGCTGGCCCCGTCGGAACCGTTGATGCCATCTCGCTGGTCCCGCTGATGTGGAGCCGAAGCAGGAGGCCGGCTCCGTGGAGCGGGCGGTGCAGCTGGGCATCTGAAGCCTCCGCGCAGTTCGTCCCATCCTCTGGCGGAACGGCCGGAGTGCGAGGCTGACCGAGGGTGGACCAGGTCTCGCACCGTAGCCGATAGTTCGGCCGTCTTCTGAGCCCTCTCAATGACGCCCCTAAGATGGGGACCAAATAGAACATCGGTGGTGATGGGGCCGTCCAGCATCTCCCTTTGCAGATGTTCCAGAATGGAGGGCAGGGCCTTGAGCCAGATCGCTCGCTGGATGAGGGTCTACCAGGCAGCGATGCGAGCAGAACTGGTGAGCACAGCAGCACACAAATTGAGGATAGCATCAGCAGTCTTAGTGATGACGGCTTTCGACTCCTCGGGAGCTTCCAGCTCCTCCATCATCTTTGAGACGCCGAAGGCAAGAAGGGCGATGTTATTCCCTGCAGCGCCGGTCTGAAAGGCACACTGATGTGTGCGGTCGGTGAGCCGCGTCAGCAGCTGGTCATGTTTTGAAGCGGGAACAGCTCGCGGGCCAGCGAGGTGGTTCTTGGCTCCGAACAGCGAGGCCAAGTCCGGCTCTAGCGGAGGAACGGACGGCCAGCCTTGGTCGGAAAACCCTTCGACCTTGGTGATGGGCGCATACGTGGAGACTGGCGCCTTGAGCTTGGCAGGCTCGGAGAAGGCGGCAGACCAGCAGCTCATAGCAGCGGGAAAGCGCGGCCAGATGGGGTCTGGACAGCGTGTCTGACTTGCCCCGAAAATTCCCGCCAAATCATCCGCTTCGGGCGGGGCCGGTTCTGGCACAGCTAGCCCCTTGCGGGCTGCTGCCGCAGAAATGATGACGGAGAGCTCCTGGAGCAGTGCTCTTACTGCTGGCAGGGAGGAGCGAGAAGCCACTGGAGCAGAAGGACCCACTGAGCGAAGCTCGTCGACCTCCGTTATGTCTAGGAGGGATGCCGCCTCATCGTAGTTCTCGCTGTCAGTGACGTCATCCAGCCGGTTGAAGCCAGCCGGCTCCTGACCGGCGTCGAAGAAACCCAAAGCCTTGTCCAGCGGGTGCGAGTCAGCCACCGGAAATTCTTCGTCGGCGGCGGGAGTGAAGTACTCGACCCGGCGAATCTTCTCTGCCACGGGCAGAGCGGCACAGAACGGGCACGAGGCCTGCGGGGTCAAGGCCAGGCCAGCGTGGTGAGCACCGAGACAGACCTCACACTTGGCGTGCAGGTCGCCGCTGGAAATGGAGCCCGTCTGGCAGGTCGGGCAGGGTCTGGCAGGTCGGGCAGGGTCTGGCGTCGCTGGACATGGCTGGTAAGTCGTCTTCTGGATAATTTGCTCTTCCAGGGATAATATTGCTCTTTAAGGAAGCTCTCAAGCTTGGCATGAAGAGACAAAGGGGGTGAGCAGTGGGGGTCACTGCGGTTATATACCACGAGGGGGCCCACTATTGGTGGGCGTACATTTTAGCTCTTCATGATTGGCTGATGCAGAGATCATCTTTCCAATAGCAGCTCGCTTAAGGGCTAAGACTAGACGAAATAGAATTCATGACTCCAGATGGCACGCGATGCAAACCTTCCACAAAGTTTTGTTTTGTTGTTGCGGAATATTTTCCCATCAATAGGATGAACATGTTGTTTTTGGTCTGCAGAGGTTTGGACTTGGAACACTCTCATCAAGGCTAGTTTCAACCCCTACCCTTAATTATTTACCTTCACATCAGGGTGCTCGGATACAAGTGCCCAAGGGCCACATGAAAATTTTTCTATTGAGTACCACTGCTTTACATACTGACTTTAAGGAAGCAATGTCTGCTGTACTTTTCCAAGTTCTTTGCTCTTGATTTTCTTCAGAAGAGGCCCGATGTGTTGATTTTTCACGTGTTTTAGCCTATTATATGTCATCAGAGAGGTTCTGTTGAGGGGATTTCTGACTTTTACAGGCCTGCAGTGATCCAGTCTGGATGTGGCTGGTGGGATGGAATGTGATTAATTCAAGATTTACCTCTTCACACAGAACCAGGAAGTTTAAAACCCCTTTTGTCCTTTTAATAAGTTGCAGGTTATCTAGTATAGTTTTATTGAAAGGTATAATTTATGTTGACATCCTTTTCTGTCTCTTTGGGTTTTTCCCTCAGGCGTCTCCACTGCCAATCATCTGTCTCTATTTAGTCCTGTCTTCTGCATCCTCTGCCCTCACACTAACTAACTTCATCTCCTCTTTCACCACATCCATAAATCTGCTTTTGGTCTTCCTCTCCTGCCTGGTGGCTCCAACCTCAGGATCCTTCTACCTGATTGGTGTTTCTCTTCTGGCCATGTCCAAACCATCTCAGTCTGTCCTCTCTAACTTTATATTCAAAACATCTAACATGAGCTGTCCCTCTGATGGACTCATTCCTGATCCTATCCATCCTCTTCACTCCGAAAGAGAACCTTAACGTTTTGAGCTCCACCACATCCAGTTCTGCTTCCTGTCTTTTCCTCATGGACACTCTCTAAACCAGACAGTATGGCTGGTCTCACTATTGTCTTCTACACCTGAAACCCCTTTATCACACCTGACACTTTCTCCACCCATTCCAACCTGCTTCATGTGTTTCTGTTGACAAAGCCAAACAGAAGACATCACAAGAGGACAAAAACTTTCACACAGCTTCATAAACACCCTTCACTTTTCTGTTGTGAATGCACAGGTATTGGATTTTATACACACCTGTTCAAAAGCCATGGTGTTTTGGTGCAGGCCATGGCTGATCGGAGTCTGGAGGCTTCGGATGCCAGAGAGGCTGTTTGAAACATTCTCCAGGCAAAGTCCCACTCCTCCACCCCACCGAAGGCTATGGCATTACAGTAAACTGTGCTTTTCAGGTTGGGATGGATCCTGGTCAGCATTAAGAACATCAGTAAATGATTCATCACAGCAACTGCTTGACTAGTCAAACGTAGCTTCAGTTTGACAGGTTGGTGCTAATTAACTATAAGTAAATCTATTAAATGTGTTCTATTGTTGGAGGTGACATGGCCTCAAACGCAAGACTTGTGAGTAATTAGCGCGTGTCTAAAACATAACCAGTCATTAACACAGTAGAAACAAAAGTGATGCTTTAGCCATGACTTTGTGTAACTGATCGAGGGAGCTTTCTTCTAAAGAGACACACACGCTGCAGTTTGTAAATACTGGAAGCAGTTGGGAGAATGATGTTAAAACCAGTGTTGGGCAAGTTACTTCAAAACTGTAATGCATTATTTATTACTTGTTACCCTCTTTTTAAAGTAATTCATTACATTACAATATTACTGATTTTTAAAATGTAAGGCATTACACTACGTTTGCATTACTTTAAGTTACTTTCACCAATACAACTTCAGTATGAATCTGGTAATGTGACGCTCAGTGAGCTCATGACATATATGTGGAAAGTGATGTGGTGTCTGAGCTAGGATTGCTGTTAAAAACAGTCAGATATAATAACAGTGCTTTAAAATGATTGTTTATTAAATAAAAGCAACAACAATCTGTACTCTCAGCACGCTGCCATCTTATAGGGCCATCTGAGCAGGGAGTGAGGTGGTGGGGGCTCCAAGCCTATATCTGTCTTGGTCCCCAAATACCTTGATACGGCCCTGGATGTGGGACTGACTTCTGGGGTGATCTGATTCTATCGCATGTATAAATATTAAATGCTTATATATTATTGCTTTTCACTGGTAAAAATGTGTATTGGGGATAAATCTACCTATTTTTTTCTTTTCAAGCACTTTGTTTTGTTTTCTTGATTTTATGTGAATAATTTCCTGCCCTTTCTCTCTCTAACCTTCCTGCATGCTGCATGTTTTCTCCGTCTTCCAGAAAAAACAGTTTCCTAGACTTCCTACTTTCTAACGATCAGCCAAAGGGATCTTCACATGTGCGGCGCTCCAGCAGTAATGAGTTGAAATCACCGGGGCACAGATTATGAACTCAGCTGAGGCAAAGCATGTCAGAAAAGCACAAAATACCAGAGAATATGCGCTGATATGAACGATCGCAAGTAAATTATTTTGTTTTAGTGGAGCGATTTTGTGAATGTTACAGCGGCCGCGTGCAGGACGCAGCTGGAGTAGATGAGCCGTTACCGCGGCATCCTCTCTGCCCGCAAAGCTGAGCCCATAAATGACGTAATATATGCAGATACTGGATCTTTCTTCGGGTTTCCCGCAATTTGAATTTTTAAGGAACACATCTTGATTCTGGGTTTAAAAATGCATTGTAATTACCGCGTTACTGACAATTGTACCGAGTAAATATTACCAATTTCTTTCCCTGTAATGCCTTACATTACCACATTACAGCAAAAAGCAATGCATTACAGTAATTAATTACTTTTGTACCGCATTACTCCCAACACTGGTTAAAACACAGCAAACATTTTTTTCTGCACTCACTGGTTGTGATCTGGATTTTCCATCCACTGTCGGTACCAGGATTTTATCAGCTCCCTGCAGCCCTCCACACCAACACCACATGCTATTCTGAGAGCATTGATCTGATTATACCTAAAATAATAAAATGAATTAAAACACACACACACACACGAGACTGAAAATGTATCTTTTTTAGAAGGAATTGTTACTGGTCAGAGTGTCCTGCAGGAACTCTGGTCCAGTTAGCAGTGAGTGTCCTAAAGTGCTCAAATAGTGGCTTGATTTGTTTCTTCAAGTATGCCTGAAACAGATGCACAGAAATATGTTTATGTCCATGTATTTACGGTGCACATATCAAACTTTCTTTTCATAGAACTGACCTGCAATGCTCCATAAACCTCAGTGCGATCAAATATGAGAACATAGTTGTCCAAGTTTCTAAGGGCTGATTCCCACGGGATGTAGTCTCTCTCTCTGGACAGGTATGTGGTTGTTCTCAGCGCTAGAGTTGTATTGATCAGTTTTGCTCTGCGTGAAATAAACCATCTCATGTTTTGCAAACAAATGCATGAAGTGTTTTTCTTTTTGATAATTTTTTTATTACCTTGCCAGGCTGAATGCATCATCAATGATCTGTGCTCGGTTTATGACCGATAAAACCTGAAAAAGACACAAAAGTATTTTTGTTTTATTAAAGTCATTGTTCTACAACAATGTATCAGATGTTACGGGAGTATTTTGAGGTACACATACATGTATAGGACTCTTATTGTGAAGGATAGTTCTGTGACTCCAGCTATTGGGACTGATGCTGCAGCGGAAGTAAAGATTGCTTACTCTATAATTACTTATTAGACCTTTGTCTGACACCCAAAAGCCTATGCTGGGATGAACCACCTCCTACCCTGATGTTTGGCTCCTAAACATGTTTAAAGCCCCGCCATCTCAAGCAGTCAATTGTGACTTCATTGACTTCACTTATTCAACACTAGATGTTTATGGAGGGTAAACTTGAAAATGTATATGTAGTGTATAATACTACAAAAGCATACGCTGGTGAAGATTCTCAATCATCCAGGTCATGATAATCACAAGTAGGATTGAATGAAGGCAAATGGACTTCTTTGGTAAGTAAGTAAGTAAGTAAAAGTTTATTTATATAGCACCTTTCACAGATATAAATCACAAAGCGCTGTAAAACATGATAAAGATCAGGGCAAATACCTCTAACCAATGAAAACATAAAAAAAAAACAATAGCAGTGATAAAATAGAAAATAAAATCATGAGTATAAACAAAGTGAAGGTGTGAACCCGAACAAAGCCATCTTTCTGAACATTTAGGGAGGGAACGCCTGGATGAAAAGGTGAGTTTTTAGATGATTTTTAAAGACCTCTACAGTGTTAGAGAGACGGAGTTTTGAAGGTAGACTGTTCCAAAGTCTGGGTGCAATAGTCTGAAAGGCCCTGTCCCCTTTGGTTTTCAGTCTGGTTCGAGGAACAGCCAGGAGGTTTTCAGATGTGGATCCAAGGTTCCGAGAGGTGGTGTGTGGGGATAAAAGCTCAGATAGGTAGCTTGGAGCCTGGTTGTTAAGAGCTCTATAGGTCAGGACTAAAACTTTAAACTGAATTCTATATTCTACCGGGAGCCAGTGGAGGGACTGTAAAACTGGGGTGATGCGCGCTCGTCTGCTGGATTTGGTTAGGAGTCTGGCTGCTGCATTTTGGATGGCCTGAAGGCGTGAGAGGGAGGTTTTGCTGAGACCAGTAAAAAGAGCGTTACAATAGTCTAAGCGTGATGACACAAAGGCATGGATGATTTTTTCCAGATCTGCAGTAGAAACCAGTTTACGGACTTTTGAAATGTTTCTCAGTTGAAAGAAACAAGAGTGGGAGATGGTTTTGACATGTGAGTCTAAACTTAAAGCTGGATTTAAAATAACTCCCAGGTTTCTAATGTTGGCCTTGGCTGATGGGCAAAAAGAGGCAATTTCTTGCTCGATTTTTGGCTGAAGTTCCGGGGGTGCAGCGATCAGGGTCTCTGTCTTGTTAGCATTGAGGACAAGAAAGTTGCTGGACAGCCAGTTACTGATCTGGGTCAGGCAGAGTACAAGTGTGGCCAGCCTGTCCAACTGGTGTGGCATAAAGGACATATAGAGCTGAATATCATCAGCGTAGATGTGGTAGGAAATGTCTGGGAAAGACTGAATGATGCCAGCTAGGGGAAGAATATAGAATGCGAATAGTAGAGGCCCTACAATTGAACCTTGTGGGACCCCGCATGTTAGAGAGGCAGTATCTGAAGAGAAGGTTTCGGACTTCACTGTGAATGTTCTGTTGGTGAGATAAGAAGAGAGCCAGTCTAGAGCAGAACCTGAAATCCCAGTCAGGGCCTTTAACCTGTTTAGTAGAACGTTGTGGTCTACAGTGTCAAAAGCTGCACTGAGGTCAAGCAGGACCATGACAGAGCATTTCCCTGCATCAGCAGCCATCAGGAGGTCATTATGCACCCTTACTAGAGCAGGCTCAGTTGAGTGCTGCTTCAGAAAGCCAGATTGGAAGGGGTCAGAGATCTTTGACTTAGAAAACCAGGATCGGAGTTGGGTTTCAACAACCTTCTCAAGTACTTTGCTGATGAAAGGTAGCTTAGAAATGGGCCTACAGTTACTGGTGGAGCTGGCGTCAAGGTTGGGTTTCTTTAAGAGAGGAGTCACTACTGCATTTTTAAAGTAAGATGGAACACAGCCTTGGCTCAGTGAGCTGTTGATTATAGTCAACAGAGATGGACTGATAGAGGCAAGGGACCCGACTAAAACAGAGGGAGTTAAGATATCTGATGAGCATGATGAGAGTTTCATCTGACTGATTATTGAGGTTAAGTCGTTTACTGTAATTGGGGAGAAGGAGGTGAAAGACTCGGAGCACGGGGGGGCCTCCCCTCCTGAGGGGGCGAGGGCTGGTGGAATGCTGGATCTCAGATTCAGCACCTTGTTTGCAAAAAAGTGGAGAAAGGTGTTACAGTCATCAGCTGAAGATAGCTGAGCCTGCTGAGGAGGAGAAGACACGATGCTGGAGATGGTATCAAACAAAACCTTAGGATTATTCTTATTTTGGCATATGAGGTTGCTGAAGAAAGAAGACCTGGCATTTTCTACAGCTTCGTTGTATGACTCGAGAAGTTCTTTAAAATATTCGCGATGAACAACCAGACCTGTCCTCTTCCACCGTCGTTCCGCTTTTCTATAGGAGCGTCTAAGTTCAAGAATCTGGTTGTTCAGCCAGGGTGAACTGGAGGCACTGGAACTGCGGCTGGTTTTGTAAGGGGCGACCTGATCTAGAATTTTGAGGCAGTGATCATTAAATGAGTTGGTAAGGAGCTCTACGTCATCAGAGGAAGGAGGAACAAAGTCAGAGGGAGGAGAAATTTAAAATGGTAGAACTGTTCATAATACGTCTTTGCTTAGCAGAGACTGGTAAAAGAGATTCAGAATTTAGGTTGATATGAAAAGAAACTGACATGGTCACTGAACACAACATCATGTATCTGCAGCTTATCAACAAGAAGTCCGTAGGAAAAGACCAGATCCAGGGTGTGGCCTGCTCTGTGAGTGGGACCAGACACGTGTTGAGAGAAGTTAAAAGAGTTCATCATGTTTAGGAACTCCCAAGTGGAGCAGTTAGATAGATTCTCAGCGTGGATGTTGAAATCTCCAACAATGATTATCCTGACTAGTTTTATAGTTGAAGATAGGAGGTCCTGAAAGTCAGACAGGAAGGATGAAGTAGATACAGGTGGGCGATAGACCAGAATTCCATAAACTGGTTGAACTCGACCAATTTTAATCATGATCATCTCGAATGAGCTGTAGGAGTTTGAGGATATAATTTGGCACGAAAAGTGTTTCTTAAAGACAACAGCTGTTCCTCCACCGCAGCCTGTGGTTCTTGGAGCAGAGAAGAAAGAGCAGTCTTGAGGACAGAGTTCACGGAGATGAGTGAGGTAATTTTCGCGCTGCCACGTGTAGAGAAATAGAGTGATGTAACTATCTAGAGTTGTATTTTAATATACTGTAAGTAGATCTAGTTTTTATAATCAGAAGAATAGGTTGTTTTTATCATCAGGGAGTTCATTTAACACTCTGTATTGACCTTGAGACAAGAAAAGAGAGAGTTGGGATCGTTTAAGAATTTTATTATAAATTCTACAATCTATCAGGACTAACTCTGTGTTGTTTGGAAATGAATGTGATGTTCGATGTGTGTGTGTGTGTGTGTGTGTGTGTGGTTGGTTCAGACTCCTTAGGCTGACGTCATTGAATCTGGTAGTCTGATTGTTATGACTAGATATCACGAGGCTTATAAAGTGATGACATGAGCTGCTATTTTGCCGTGTACGTACCCAGTGGGGGCCTCCCAGGTAGATCAGGAAATGCCAGGTCTGAAGACCTCGGATGTGCGCTGGAGCTGGTCGAAACAGCGGTCGCAGCGTTTCAAAGCCCGTCTGAAGGGTCGACCCAGGTAACAATCGGCAGCGTCAGCAGGTGCTCTTATTTTGAAAGGATGTCGATGTCTGGTTGTTAAACGACGAAAATCTCCAAATCTCCAACTTCACAGTTCTTAGTTTAAAGAAGAAAACACATCTGGCCAGGCTGTGCTTCTCTTTGGGATGACGGTGAATAGAACTGAAGTCAAAATGGAACTGAGCTTAAAATGGCGTTGCCTTGTTTTATATCTCTGAATTGTTGATAAGTTTTAGTAAAGCGGATTGGACACTCAACAAGCCAGATTCTCTTGCGGCAGCCGAAAGCTCTGATTGGTTGGAACAATGTGTCATGCGTTTCTATGGAGATGAGGGTCAGTCTGTCTGTGCAGTAGTCCTGTTTTCATTAAACACATAAATCATGACATATTTATTCCACAGATCATTCACTTGATTATTATTGATCAACATATGTTTCGAATAGCTTTAATCACAAATTAAGTACTTTGATTATTGAAAAGCGTACTTCTTCTCCTTCTGGCTCTTCTCCTGGAATGTAAACAGTCTGAGGAACACCCAACCTTGGCGTTTTCTACACGGGTGTTACTGTGTACAGGGGCAGCTGTGTGGAGCTGAAAATAATGAACTTCATAACGTTACACACGACTCAGAAATCCACAAAAAGTTAAATTTTTTGGTCCGGAACAGATCGTTGAGGATGTGAGACTTGTTGGCGATGGAGCGTGCGTTAATTAACATCATTTTCGCGGAGGAATCTGGCGATGTGTGTGCCGCGGGCTCGATAATGGCGGGCGGCTGGCGGGCTAAGCTACGTAGCGACTCCAGGCTACGCCCGCGGAGGTTCTTTGTCTCCCACGCCTTCAGGTAGCGTCCCACATCAGGGGCTCCATTGAGCAGCGAGATCAGCCCAACTCAGTTAAGTTTCTGTTGGATCCGCCACAACACAGCCGCGGAGCAGTGATCAGGTAGAGCTTTGCCTCTCAGGATCTTTCGAAGCTGAACGAAGAAGCCGGCTCTCTTCCCCCGTTTCCTCTTCCATGGCCTCCTGGGCAGCGGCAGGCCGACAGGTAACAGAGGGCCGAGACCTGGGTTAACGCCAGGTTCCAGAGGCGGTGGGAAAGCGGGTCCGGTATCGGAGTTCTGGAGGTTGATCATCGCGGACCTGATCGACAACAGTAAGTCTCGATCATATGTTAGCAGGGACTCTGCACCAGGTAAAGAAGAAACAATAAAAAACACCAAATAACCAAAAAAGATCAGGAGCCTAGCAAACGGACAACCACTCATGGGCGCCATCTTGTAGCATGGTGACTTCATGATGTTTCTATCAGCCAAAAAAAAAAAAGTCAGTTGACAAATTCTGCATTGGATTAATTAATTGATCCCAATTTTCCTTTACTTTTGTTTTTATGTAATAACGAGTGAGGGAAGGATGGAAGGCGAGACCGACAGGCGGGTTGGTGCTGCATCTCCAGTAATGCGGGCGTTCGTGAAGAGACAGCCCCTTGATATGCCACACCTGTGAGGTGGGATGAACTATTTTGGTAAAGGACAGTGCTCAGTAACACATGCAGACAGATTTCAGAACAATATTTGAGAGTCATGGGTGTTTTGTGCATGTAGAAAAAGTTTCAGATGTTTGAGTTCAGCTCATGAAAAATGGGAGCAAAAACAAAAGTGTTGCATTTATATTTTTGTTCAATGAGCCAGTCAGAAAACAGTTGTGTTAGTTATGTGTTCTGATTGGCTCAGCTTTTTAGGGCTCCATTTTCTGATTGTCTCAGCCTTTTTGCGCTCTGTATTTTGATTGGCCCAGCAGTTTTGGGCTCTGTATTTTGATTGGCTCAGCTGTGTTAGTTCTGTGGTCTGATTGGTTCAGCTTCATTGAGTTTTGTGTTCTGATTGGCTCTGCTGTTTCAGATCTTTATTATGACTGGCCCAGCTGTGTTATGCTCTGTATTCTGATTGGCCCAGCTGTGTCAGTTCTGCATTCTTATTGGCCCAGCTATGTTAGGTCTGTATTTTTATGGGCCATTTCTCAATATGCAAACTTGTCTGTACTTGTATGTAATCACATCCTTGTGAAACGTCATCAACGATGGCCCAAGGACTGTTCCAATCCTAAGTAGGCATCATGGCAAGTTCGTTCAAAGTTCCCGGATGTGTTCTTGCTCTGCCCCATTGTATCAAGGATGCATTAATGCATCCTTTTGCGGACTTGGGACAGTTTCCCATAATGCACTGAGTCGCAACTGTTGTACTCCGAACATCAGAGGAGAAATTTAATAACTGTAGAGTTTTATATAAAAAATACTAATAAAGAAATATAAAGTCATCTGTAATTTTTAAATTTTGTGTGTAACCTGTAAAATGTGCTGTGTGTTTTTGGGTTTTACTTTTCACGATCTCTCAAAATGCTAATTAGCTAGCCGACTATCAAAAGAAAAGCGAAGTAGCTTTGTTTTGATGAAAAATAATTTTTTTAATCCATTTACCAGCAAAAAATGCTGGTATTTTATAAGTTTTAATCAAAAGTGGAGCAAATATAATACAAATATATGTTTTCATTGTTATTTTGTTATTTAAGTAACAAACCAAACTTATTTTTCTATCAGGTTGTTTAAATGTGGGTAAAAACAAGCAGCACTTGTTGCCATGACGCAACGGAGTACGGTTCTGTTCCAAATGCCGTCCTCGTCCTCCCGTACTCGGTAGAATGGAATTGCTGTTGTCCATGCCAAGAACATACTTGTCTAGTAGTACACAAGAATGTACTAGCATGCTTGAGTATTGAGAAACGGCCACTGGCTCAGCTGTGTCATTTCTGCATTCTGATTGGTCTAGCTGTGATAGCTCTGTGTTCTTATTGGCTGAGCAGTGTCTGATTATGTGTTCTGATTCATAAAGTTACTTGCTCAGGACTTCATATTCAAACTTAAGTTTTCAACTTGATCCAAAACTTGTATTTCTCTGAACGTGACTTGACTTAGGACTTGCATATTTTCAGACTTGCAGAAGAATGACTTGGTTGTACCTCTGCCCAATGAAAATTTGGTATAATTTAAACAATAAACCTTTTTAATTTCTGTTTTTGCAGATACCAGCAGAGAAACAACTATTCCATAGAGGATATTGGCCCTCAAGAACCAGACTCATAGTAATCTGCTGTAGATAGATCCACATCCATGTACATGACTGACCTGATGGTTGGTGTTGAGCTGAGAAAGGAGACGGCCCCAGTTGTCGAGATCATAGTTCACCCTAAAGAATCCAGATACATTCGTGTTTGCCAAAACCCATTCCTCTCCAGACACTCTCATCGAGCTATGGGTATCTGGAGGGATGTGTGATTTATTTATTTAAAATAACTTGAATTTGAATGAATCAGATCACATTTTCTCTTTGAGGAAGCAGTTCTGTGGGTGTCTGAGTAACCGTACCTGTCTTGTCAAGGAGCCAGTATTGTTGCTGATCCACACCATTTTTCATCCATTTAATTGGAATAAACCATGTATAGCTAAACAGAATAAAGGACAGTAATGTATTCAGTTAGTTTTTTTTCCTCAGAAGTGAATCTTTTCACTCATCATGAACATGCACAGAATCAAGTAACTGTTTATACTTAAACTGGGATGGTCTGCCCACTACAGAGTCTGGGTCCAGCAGGAAGTGCTTCTGGGTGACAGTTCCTGTTCGGGTGTCGACTGTGACCACTGGGAAGCCCATCTGAAGTGTCCACCGGTTCATTATCTCAGAGACAGAACGTGGAATGTCCAACCCTGGTGTGTTGTCTACTGCCTAACCCCAAAGCAAAAACAGAAGACACTTATTCTCAGTCCCAGGTAAAAAAAATTGTGGGTTTTTAACTCAACTGACCTGTTGGAGATGGTCCCATAGGTCTGTGTACACTGTGTTTTTGAAGGCAAATGTGTTGAGGTAAGACTGAAGAGAAGAAATGATGCAGAACAAAACATTCAAACAGGAAGCAATGAATCACAATGACAGCAGAAACATTGACCCAAACATGTACTTGTTGTACCCACAGACTAATCACTTTAGCCAAAATGACCCTGGTAGTACTCACACTCAGGCCTCGGGCAAAAACAGGCTCAGTGAGAAACTCTGACAGCATCCTGAGCACTGCAGCTCCCTGAAAATCACAAATCCAGAAAATGAGAATATGAAAACACAAAGATCCCCTTTGGAAAGGCAGGTCCAGTGAGAGACGAGTGCATCTTAAACAGAAAATTAAAGGGAGTTCAAAACCATTGAGCTTCTTTTCTGAGCATTTCCATCACATAGAAACCCAGATTCACTGTTTGAGTAATTATTTTGTTACTCAAAGGGCCAGCTTTCCTTGAGAGAATGTTCATCACTTTCCATGCCAGAGTGTCCTAGGTGGAGAAAAATTGCAGTTTCTTTCCTAGAAATTACATCAGTTCATGAGCTAAAATGCTAAAAGACAGGGTTCCCTCCAGCATTTATCGTCAAGATTTTATGCAAAGATATTGCTCGAAATTTAGGACTCAAAGTAAGTGTAAGAATATATCTGTTCTACTTGCTGCTTCCAGTGCAGACGCTTCTCTGCTTTGCTTTCTGCTTGATCACTTTCTTTTCTTTTTCACCGAAATAGCTGTTTTTTGCCAAAGTTTTTTTGCTCAGTGACTTCTGGACTCTTAAAAAACACTGAGATATTTTAATAGACTACAACGGCCTTTTTCCTACGACATTGAACTACAGTGAACCGAGTGAAACTATTTTCAGCATTATGCCTCACTTTCCTTCAGAAGACTTCCAAATACTTCTACAGAAGATTATTGTGTTGCCCTTAAGGCATTTTTCTAAATAAATACATTTAGATGGTTACTTCATGATTTATTTAAGTTTTGGCTAAAAAATTCTGTTTCGGACACAAACTTCTGCTTTCATATTGATTGTTAGCTTCCATCTCCATGAATGCAAGTAAACTTGCTGCAGCTAAACTCCAGGGTCTTGTGTGGCTTAACCCGGTGTCACCAACATCCTTGTTGAAAACACTAGAGTCACAGTTCTTAAAACTAAAATGTATCCATCAGAAGATAATGGTGTGGCAAGGTGGAGAAACAAGGGCCTGGGTGGGATTCAATCTCCAGGCTCGCGGGTGAGAGTCATGCGCACTAACCAGTCAGCCAAAGGGACATTTCCTTGGCCATGTAGCCAGGGCGCATGATCAGTCATGTCACAGTGACAGGACGCTCACACCGTGACATCTCCCGGAAGTCTGGGGATCTAAAACCTTGCCACACTGGGAAATATATGGATTATTTGGAAAAGACGACACCTTTTCATCTACCCAAATTGTCACACAAGTAGATGGTGCCTTACAGCTATAGCAGCAGCAATGCTTCAACATTGCTAAAGGGCTTTCTGCCTCATAATAAATCTGTGAGCAGCAATCCTGCATGGAATTCTCTTGGCGCTAAACCAAAAAGTAAATCATGTCCCAGGGGAACGAGAGGACAACTAGCAACAATCGGAGCCTCACACCAAGAGGTCTTCAATGCAGCTGGCCTGCTCCCCCATTCAGGCCTGAGCAGCAGCACACAACAGCAGAGAGCTAGCTAAATGAAGATTATTAAAGAAACTTGTCATCAGTCAAGCACACTGACTGTTGCTCCACAACAGACTTATGTCACTGCTGAATGACCCCAGATCAAATGAGCTGGAAAGCCCCTTCTCTTGCCCACAAAACAGGGTACAGAATGAGAATAATGACTACATCGCTACAAGGAAAGAAGCAAAAGTCTGAGCCTCAACCTCTTATAGTGGATGATTTTTGTGCCAATAATGTGAATGTAAATGGCAGAAATACCAAAACATAGTGTTTTCCCAAGGACACGGTTACTGACAGGAGAGAGAGAAAATCCCAACATCCATCCATTTTCAACTGCTTATCCAGAGTCGGGTCACGGGGGCAGCAGCCTAAGCCGAGAGGCCAAGACTTCCAGCTACTTGGGCCATCTCCTCCAGGGGAATCCTAAGGCATCCCCTTGCCAAGAGACATTGTCCCTCCAGCATGTCCTGGGCCCTTCCTTGGGTTTCCTCTCAGTTGGACGTGCCTGGAAAACCTCAACAGGGAGGCGTCTAGGAGGTATCCTGGTCAGATGCCCGAGCCACCTCGACTGGCTCTTCTCTCAAAAATCCCAACAACCCTTGCTAAACATCTCGCTGTTAATCGGCTCATAATATATGTTAATGCAAATGAAATTGGGAAAAGACAGTCAGAGATGCTGAATCTGAACTTTACTGCTTTTTTGAAACCGCTCAGCTCTCTGAACACTAGGGTGTTTATCAGTAGCTCGTTACCACCGGTCAGAAGAGGCAATGAAAGATTCAGTAGGTTGTTTGCCCTGAACAGCTGGCTCTATGCTGCATGCAACAGAGAGAAAGTTCACTTTAGTGATCATTTCAACTTCTGGTATCGCATACACTTTTTCTGAGCATACATTTTATTATAAACCTTTAGCATATTCTGCCTCTTTCTTATTCCTGCCCCAGCAAGGACACCAAAAGACAAGAGGAGTCAAATCAGGAAATCTTTTCACAGCACATCTGCTATCACAAAGGAGAACATCTTGCTCAGCATGCCAAGGACAATGTTAAAGAAGATTCAAAACAATATTCCTGTGAACACACCAAAGATCCACATCAGCCTGAAAACTCCCTAAATGTTTCCTTTCTGGCCATCACTAAGGAACTGGTCACTCCAGAAGCTAAAGTTATAACTGAGGATAACTTTTTTGAAACTCCTTCACAATCTTCAGATAGCTCGGCAGACTCCCTCTCTATTTCGTTCACTTCTAGTGTCATGTGTCCTCTGATCCATTTCATTGTCGCCCACCTCCATATCCCACACACTTCACTCCTCACCCCTTGCCCCCTCCACGGCCCACCATAGGTAGTTCTCCAAATGCACTGCTCAGAGTAACTCGGACTGGTGCAGCTCAGCCCAACCACAGTTTCCAAGGGCACGGTTTAGTATGTTCTCTCTACTTTCTCCCCAATTTTTAGTCCCTGCTCCGTTGAGGTACCTGGTAAGGTTGAGTCGGGCCGGCATTGTGACTCTGGCCGCTGATTGGCTGGGGGTGGAGCCAAAGGTTGCTCCAGAATTCTCTGTCTGCTACTTCACTGCTTGCAGCCATTTCCTGGTTCAGAGCCTGACAATAAACCATAAAACTGAGCAAAATGTCTAAAAACACCACCATTTCTCAGCTGAGTTGTTTCTGTGGAGCATACAGGGTACTTTGCACTGTTTATTGATCACCACATGCTATTTTGTCATGAGTAAAAAATGCACCTGCTCATTCATATAATCTAAGAAACCTTATAACAGTTTTTTGTCGGGGCCCATTCAGCCCAGTGTCCTGCCACCATTTCTATGAAGGTAGCTTTATTGAATGTCAAACCTCTTAGCAACAAGTCATTTTTAGTAAATGGACTTATCTCTGCTCATGATCTTGATTTTATGCTCATATCTGAAATTTGGTTAAAGGCTAGTAGCTGTGCACCAGTTCTCATTGAATCAACACCAAATTTCACATCTCTAAACATGGTTTGATCTAACAGGAGAGGTGATGATGTGGCTGTTATTTTTTAAGATTTATGCCTATGGAAAACGCTAGCTAGTGTGTGGTGATTTTTACTCTTTTGAGTATCTTTGTTTTGTGTTGAAACGTACACCCAAGATCTTAGTGTTAATATGTTATAGGCTTCCAGGGTGATATGCTAATGTCCCCCCCCCCCCCCCCCCCCCCCCCCCACACACACACACACACACACACACACACACCTTCGGATTGGTAGATTTCAGCCTGGCAAGGTCATCAGCTGGAGGAGTCAATGTGCTCCTTGCTTCTCCCAAGATCTCCCTCCCACCTGTTACTGTAGGATTGATTTGATTTGATTTGACTTGATTTGATTAAGCGTGATTAGTGCTAAAACACTGGAGGTCATGTTCTGTGTCCTGTTTTTCCCACCCCCTACCCGGTTTCCCTTCAGGTATCCTCCACTGGCTGTGTTATTTAGATTCCCTTGGCCTTTTGGGTACTAACTATATTTGTAATTTCCCCAGTTAATATCAGCCTTGGCATTTATTTAGATTTGGTATTTATTTGCTCCCCAGCATTCCAGTGGCTTTAGTTCAGTTGTTTTTCCAGGTAATTCGTTCACTCAGCGGTTCTATGCCCCATTAGATGTCTAAGCTGCAGCTGTTGCACACCTGCTTAGACTCTATCAAAACCTGGATGGCTGGGATCTTTCTTCAGCTGAATGAAGATAAGACTGAGATCCTCATCTGTATCCCAGACAAGCTGGTTCCCAAAGTCAGAGACTCTCTTGGTCAGCTTGCTTCCCACACCAAACCTTCTGTCAGGAATCTTGGCGTGAACTTTGACCCAGCTCTCTCCCTGGATTCTCAAGTCAGTTCTCTTGTTCGCTCTTCCTTCTTCCATCTCAGGAACATTGCTAAGCTGAGTCCCATTCTGTCCCACTCTGAACTTGAGACAGTTCTCCACACCTTCATCTCCTCACGCTTAGACTACTGTAACTCTCTTTTCACGTGTCTGAGCAGAACCTCCCTGAACCGTCTACAGGTGGTTCAGAACGCCTGTGCTCAGCTTCTGACCAAGTCCTCCAAACACACCCACATCACCCCGCTTCTCCTCCAGCTTCAGTCAACTTCAGAGTTCATTTCAAGATCCTGGTTCTGGTCTATAGGGCCTTACATGGACAAGCACCATCTTACATTGGTGATCTTCTTAGTCCCTACACCCCCAGCAGGTCCCTGAGGTCCAGTGATCAAAGCCTACTGGTTGTGCAGCACACCAGGATAAAGACCAAAGGTGACAGATAATTTGCTGCTGTGGCCCCCAGACTCTGGAACTCTCTCCCCCTGAGCCTGAGATCAGTGGACTCGGTGGTCTCCTTTATAAAGCAGCTGAAGACTCACCTGTTCAAGCTGGCTTTTGTATGACCTTCTTCACCACTCTCTCTTTATTCTGCTCTCCCCACCTATTCCACCTTCCTCAGGATCCATGGATTTCCCTCTTTCCTATTCACTCTCTCTCTTTCTTAACATTTTTTCTTTTAAATAGCAATTGCTTAAACTTGCTC